AAAAAAAAAAAAAAAATTAATTTTGTTTTAAAAATAGAGATCAGGAATCTCACTGTATTGTGCATGCTGTTGTTAAACACCTGAGCTCAAGTGATCCTCGAGCCTTGGCCTCCCAAAGAGTTGGGATTACGGGCATGAGTCACTAGGCCTATGGCTGCTTTTATACCATAACAGAATTGATCAGTTACAGCAGGGTCCCAGAGGGCCCTAAAACCTAAAATATTTACTATCAAGCCCTCGGTAATGTTTGCCGACCCCTAATGTAGTTGCATGGCTTTGTTTTGATGGTTCCTAACACGCGCCATTTGAATAAACTTTTTGTATTTTACCAGAAGGTCATGACAGTTTTAGACTTATAGTCTCATTTGACACAGTTTGTATATTTTAACTGAGTCTTTGACTACAAATTGAAAAAACTGGGCTGTTTGAAGCTGATTGTTTGTTTTTGTGTAGCAGACAGAGCTGCCATTGAGTTGCCAACTCTGGAAGTGCTCTCCGACCAGGAAGAGGACAGGTATGTGAATGGGTGTGTCCTGTTATATATTAGGACATTACCTCTTGTCACCTGCATTGGGTTTTGTGTGTGTGACACAGTCTCGCTCTGTTGCCCAGACTAGATTGCAGTGGCGCAATCTCAGCTCACTGCAGCCTCCGCCTCCTGTGTTCCAGCGATTCTCCTGCCTCAGCTTCCCGAGTAGCTGGGACTATAGGCGCCCACCAGCACATCTGGTTAATTTTTTGTATTTTTAGTAGACACAGGGTTTCACCATGTTAGCCAGGGTGGTCTCGATCTCCTGACCTTGTGATGCGCCCGCCTCGGCCTCCCAAAGTGCTGGGATTACAGGTGTGAACCATCGCACCTGGCCTGCATTGAGCTATCTTTGTCTTTTGCTACAAGGACCTCAGGAGGAGTGTTTTCGACTTTGCTTATTTTCATTACAAAATGTTAAATTATTTCTTCCTTTCAGATATTTCCTGTCAGTGTTTTTTTTTTTTGTTTTTTTGTTTTTTGTTTTTTTTTTTAAATGGATTCTTGCTCTATTGCCCAGGCTGGAGTACAGTGACATGGTCTCAGCTCACTGCAACCTCTGCCTCCCAGGTTCAAGCGATCCTCCTGACTTAGCCTCCCCAGTAGTTGGGATTATAGACCTGCACCACTATGCCTGGCTAAGTTTTGTAGTTTTAGTAGAGACAGGGTTTCACCGTATTGGCCAGGCTGGTCTTGAACTCCTGAACTCAGGTCATCTGCCTGCCTTGGCCTCCCAAAGTGCTGGGATTACCAGTGTGAGCCACTGTGCCCGGCCTATTTTTTATTATTTTTGTTGAGACAGGGTCTCGCTCTTTTGCCTAGGCTGGAGTGCAGTGGTATGATCTCAACTCACTGCAACCTCCAATTCCTAGACTCAAGCAATCCTCCCATCTTAGCTGCCTCAGTAGCTGGGATTACAGGTTTGTGCCACCATGTCTGGCTAATTTTTGTATTTTTTGTAGAGATGGGGTTTTGCCATGGTGCTCAGGCTAGCCTCCAACTCCTGGGCTCAAGTGATCTTCCCACCTTGGCCTACCAAAGTGTTGGGATTACAGGCGTGAGCCACTGTGCCAGACCTGTACGTTGACTTTTTTTTTTTTTTTTTGAGGCGGAGTCTTACTCTGTTGGCCAGGCTGGAGTGCAATGGCGCGATCTTGGCTCACTGCAACTTCTGCCTCCCAGGTTCGAGCCATTCTCCTGCCTCAGCCTTCTGAGTAGCTGGGACTATAGGTGCATGCCACCACGCCTGGCCAATTTTTGTATTTTTTAGTAGAGATGGCGTTTCACCATATTGGCCAGGCTGGTCTCGAACTTCTGACCTTGTGATCTGCCTGCCTTGGCCATCCAAAGTGCTGGGATTACAGGTATGTGCCACTGCACCTGGCCAACTTTTGTTTTTTTTTTTTTTTTGAGACGGAGTCTCACTTCGTCGCCCAGGCTGGAGTACAGTGGCACGATCTTGGCTCACTGCAACCTCCACCTCCTGGGTTCAAGTCATTTTCCTGCCTCAGCCTTCCCAGTAGCTGGGATTACAGGCGTATGCCACTATACCCAGCTAATTTTTGTATTTTTTAGTTGAGATGGGGTTTTACCATGTTGGGTAGGCTGGTCTCTAACTCCTGACCTTAAGTGATCCACCCGCCTTGGCCTCCCAAAGTATGGGATTACAGGCATGAGCCCCTGCGCTCAGCCCATTGACTTTTATGTTTACATTTTTTTTTTTTCAGAGAACAATATGATGTTAAAAATGATGAAAGTAGCAGCTCATCCATTGTCTTTGCTGAGCCCACCCCAGAAAAAGGAAAACGCTTTGGAGAATCTGACACTGAAAATCAGAATGACAAGTCAGTGAAGTATACCACCAGTTTAGTCATAAGAGACTCCGGTGAACTTGAGTCAACCCTGGAGCTCCAGGAAAATGACTTGGCTGGTTTGTCTACCAGTTCAATTATGGAACAGCAGCTGCCACTCAGGCGTAATTCCCACCTAGATGATAGTTTCACATCCACCGAAGAATCTTCCGAAGAAAATGTCAACTTTTTGGGTCAGACAGAGGTAGATTACTTTCCTAGACCTTCCTAGTTCGTCCAGTAGTGATTGTATTGAGGACTGTGCAGGTGTGTGGCCTTCTCTCACCCACTCTCACCTCCGGCACTTCTGCCCTGCGTTCGATCTCTTTTACTGGCCATGTTCCCCTTGCCATGTGACCTTTGTGTTCGGTTCTCCCTTCTTCACTTAGTTAATTCCTCCACATCCTTTTCTGGCCTTCCCCCCGGCCATTTTCAGCTCCAGATCATCTTGAGTGTGTACTCTGGAGTTAGCGGCCTCACTCACACTCTGTTTCTGTTGTATGTTAGCATCATGCTGTAAAGATATATTTATGCAAAAAAGATTTTGTAGCATGACTTTAGGTGAGTCCCAGTAGGATTACCAGGTCAGTATTCAGGATACTCTTTTTCATTTTAAAATTGATTTTATTTTAGTTGTAGTTTTCAGGATGCTCTTGTTGAGGGTTATACTGATATAACCCTCTTTCCATGGTCATGCTGCCACCATGCTTTCACCAGTATTTTAAGTAGTAGTATTAAAACCATGAACATTGGGCCGGGTGTGGTGGCTCACACCTATAATCTCAGCAGTTTGGGAGGCCGAGGAGGGCAGATCACCTGAGATCAGGAGTTTGCGACCAGCCTGGCCAACAAGGTGAAACCTCGTCTCTACTAAAAATACAACAATTAGCCAGGCGTGATGGTGTGTGCCTGTAGTTCCAGCTACTCAGGAGGCTGAGGCAGGAGAATCGCTTGAACCTGGGAGGTGGAGGTTGCAGTGAGCCAAGATTGCGCCACTGCACTCTAGCCTGGGTGACAAGAGCACGACTCTGTTTCAAAATAAATAAATAAATAAATAAATAAATAAAACTAAAAACATGAAAATTAACAGGGTCTACATATAATCTGTCTCGTTAGGATTATAAAACTGTGTATACCATCTACATAGACACAGTGCAGAATTAATTCTTGTCCAGGAATATGTGTTTCTGAGCCTGTGTTTTTTTTTTTTTTTTTTGCAGACACCAGCTTCGCCTCCTTGTCATTCCTGCTGGAGTCGGTGGCAATGAATCTCAGCTCATTGCAGACCTCTGCCTCCTGTGTTCAAGCGATTCTCCTGCTCAGCCTCCGAGTAGCTGGGATTACAGGCACCCGCCACCTGCCCAGAGCTAATTTTTTTTGTATTTTTAAGTAGAGAGGGGTTCACCATGTTGGCCAGGCTGGTCTTGAACTCCTGACCTAGGTGATCCGCCCGCCTCAGCCTCCCAGAGTGCTAGATTACAGGGCATAAGCCACTGCACACGACCGAGCCTGTGCATTTATTTTATTTATTTTTTTTTTTGGGAGACGGGTCTTGGCTTGTTGCCCAGGCTGGGTGCAAGTAGTTGGGATCCCTGCTCACTGCAACCTCCACCTCCCAGGTTCAAGCGCTTCTCCTGCCTCATCCTCCTGAGTAGCTGGGACTACAGGCGCCCACCACCATGCCTGGCTAATTTTTTTGTATTTCTAGTAGAGACGAGGTTTCACTATGTTGATCAGGCCGGTCTCGAACTCCTGACCTCATGATCTGCCCGCCTTGGCCTTCCAAAGTGCTGGGATTACAGGTGTGAGCCACCGCGCCTGGCTGAGTCTGTGCTTTTTTATGAAACATAGAACTTTGAACACTTTCACCTGAATCTGGATAATTTGAGTTTGGGGGACTTTTAATCAGAATTGATTCATTTCTCTGTATTTTATTTGGAAAATTTTGTTAGGTGCCTCAATCAGATGGTATATACAGTGGGCTACAGTAAGCTTAATGTTTGCTTACCTTTTTATTGAATAAGTTATTAGTTGTGTACAATGTGAAGCCAGACAAAGTATATATACTTTGTAGAAATATATAGAGTAGTAGAATATCATACAGCCATTCTTTGTTGCTTTCTCTTAGCTTTAAAAACTGTTTATGTAGCAAGCAGCCCAGTTTCAGGACCAGTTACTCCGGGTCACAGTTGAGAGTTTCTGCCACTGGACTCCTGCCTGACTTCAGCCTGGCCCCCCCTTCTGCTGGTATTACAACACCCTGTTTTAATTATCGCTCTCCTTATCTGTTGCTTTCATTAGACTTTGGCCTTCTTGGGTGGGCCTGTGTCCTCAGCAGTTCTGTCTTGCAAAGGGAAATCCACACAGGTTAAATGACTTCCCTAGAGGCCTACCATCTTGGCCCAGAATAGGCAGATGAGTATTTATTTGTTGGCTAAATGAATAATGCGAGTGAATCGTGCAAAGATGGGAGCCGGCACTACCTCCTCTCCTAGGCCCAGTACCACCTGATGCTGCACATCCAGATGCAGCTGTGTGAGCTCTCGCTGTGGGACTGGATAGCCGAGAGAAACAAGCGCAGCCGGGAGTGTGTGGACGAGTCTGCCTGTGAGTACCATCTGGGTCTGCCGGGCCAGGAAATAGACACAGTCACATCTTCCCCATCTCATGTAGGAGTTGCCTTCAGGTGCTTTGTTTTTCTTTTTTATTTATTTTGTTTTATTTTTTTGAGACAGAGCCTTGCTCTGTTTGTTGCTCAGGCAGGAGTGCAGTGGTGCATTCACCACTCCCTATAGCCTTGGCCTCCCTGGCTCAAGCGATCCTCCCACCTCAGCCTCTTGAGTAGCTGGGACTACAGGTGCATGCCACTATGTCTGGCTGATTTTGAAAAAAAAAATTTTGTAGAGACAAGGTCTCATTATCCTGCCCAGGCTGGTCTCCAACTCCTGATCTCAAGCAATCCTCCTGTCCCCGCCTCCCAGAGTGCTGAGATTATGGGCGTGAGCCTCTGCGCTTGGCCAGAATTTTTTCTTTACCAATTTTTGTGTGAGTCCTATAAAACCTCTCCATCCTCTAAATGTATGTCATCATATTAATAGATGAATTAATGTACTTACATTTTTGCGGCCATATACCGTGTCATTTTTGGAAAGTGAGGCATTCCAGATGATTGACTTGTACTCCTGGAGCTAACATATTTTATCTTTTTTCTTTCTCCATTATTTGTAATAATATCTTTAATCATCTGTGGTTAGGATACCAGATTTATTAGCATTAAATCCCAGAATGTCAAGAGTTGAAGGGAACCTAAACTTTATCAAATCTAGTTGCCTGATACCCAAGAATTGTTTAAAAAGTCATCAATACAGGGGAGGGCTCTGAGTGAAGTTAGAGGTACTTTCTTTCTGGTTGACAGAGTCCATCAGCTGTTGAGTGCTGCTTTTTGATGGTTTGTTTGCTAGCTGAGGAACCCTTTCTGCTTATTTCTAGGTTTTAGACCATTCTGCCTTGACTTTGTTGAAAATCTGATTGTTCTTAAGTGTCAGATGTTAATGTATTTAGAACATTAATATTTAAATGCCAACGTAATGAGTAAAAAAATTACAGAAATAAAACTATTTTTTTTACTTCAAGGTCCTTATGTTATGGCCAATGTTGCAACAAAAATTTTTCAAGAATTGGTAGAAGGTGTGTTTTACATACATAACATGGGAATTGTGCATCGAGATCTGAAGGTAAGTGGGGGCGATGAAATTATTGAAAGCAGTGGTAGCTTTGTATCAGGGATGACTTGACGATGGTACATTGAATTAAATAAGATTACATGTCCTAGTTCATTTGTTTAGGAGGTTATAATTACTGTCAGACAAATCATTGTTCGATAGATCCAGAGTGAGAAAACATTAGGTTGAAATTTTTTTTTTTTTTTGAGACAGCGTCTCGCTGTGTCACCCACGCTGGAGCACAGTGGCGCGATGCCTAGGCTCCAATGCCTAGGCTTATGCGATCCTCCCACCTCAGCCTCCCTGGTAGCTGAGACTACAGGCATGCCCAGCTAATTTTTAAATTTATTTTTTTGAGATGGAGTCTCGCTCTGTTGCCCAGGCTGGAGTGCAGTGGCGCAATTTCGGCTTACTGCAAGCTCTGCCTCCTGGGTTCACACCATTCTCCTGCCTCAGCCTCCCAAGTAGCTGGGACTACAGGCACCCGCCACCACGCCCAGATAATTTTTTGTATTTTTAGTAGAGACAGGGTTTCACTGTGTTAGCCAGGATGGTCTCGATCTCCTGACCTCGTGATTCGCCCGCCTCGGCCTCCCAAAGTGCTGGGATTACAGGCGTGAGCCACCGTGCCTGGCCAATTTTTTTGTAGAGATAGAGTTTTGCTATGTTGCCCAGGTTGATCTTGAACTCCTGGGCTCAAGTGATCCTCCCATCTTGACCTCCCAAAGTGCTGGTATTGCAGGTGTGAGCCACTGCACTTGGTTGTAAGTTAACTTTTTTAAAGTAGTAATTTTTGGGCATTTGAAAATCCTCTGTGGAGTATGAGTACTTTTTTTCAGGTAGTAAGTGTGCTCTGAGTACTGATAAAATCAGTAGTGCTAAATGTTACTTAGTGCTGACAGAAATACTCATTTATTGTTGCAGACTTAGAGGTAAACTCTATAATTACTCATCTTAAAGTTTAACAAAATGGGAAGTTTTTTTTTTTTTTTTTTTTGCTGTTTTAAAAAAGTCTGTAGGCCAGGCGCAGTGGCTCAAGCCTATAATCCCAGCACTTTGGGAGGCCGAGGCGGGTGGATCACGAGGTCAGGAGATCGAGACTATCCTGGCTAACATGGTGAAACCCTGTCTCTACTGAAAATACAAAAAAACTAGCTGGGCGTGGTGGCAGGCACCTGTAGTCCCAGCTACTTGGGAGGCTGAGGCAGGAGAATGGCGTAAACCCGGGAGGCGGAGCTTGCAGTGAGCCGAGATCACGCCACTGCACTCCAGCCTGGGAGACACAGCGAGACTCCGTCTAAAAAAAAAAAAAAGTCTGTAATGACTATTTGGTTTTCATCCACAAAAGACTATCAAGAAAGAGAGAAAATACATTTGTGTCTTTGGCTGAAGAGATTGACATTAATTTGCTTACTTTTCAGCCCGAAGTTAAATCATGGAAAGGGCATGAAAAAACAAATCTAGGAACAAAAATGTTAGTAGGCAAATCACTTTATTTTTTGGAAAGTGTTCAAGAACCAGTAGTTTGTACATTTGGGATGTCAAAGGTGATAGGTTAAGCATTTTCTGGGACATGTCTAGCCAGAAAATGCAGTTTGAGTGGCTGGAAGTCCCTGCTGCTGTGAAGCTGGGAGGTCTTGTTTCAGGAGGTATGCCAGGTCGTAACAGCAGTACACAGAATTCCATATCGTCACCGGGAGAAGTTGCTTCAAGTGCTGTTTGTATTTCTCCCCGTAAATATTCCTGATGTTTCTTTTGCAGATACCCTGTAGGGATAAAGGTTTTTGCGATTGCTTTATTAGGGTGTCCCTTAAGAGACGGAATTCTGGTAGCATGATTCCTGCAGGGAGAATTCCTTGGTTATTGGTCATTCTCAGAGGATAAGTGTGATAAAGTAGCCTGGCCAGAAGTGCCGTATCTCTTACGTTGAAACTGCGCTGAAGGTACATATAAATTGGAGATTCCCCGTTTCTTGTTAAAATGTTAACATTTGCTTCAAAGTCAAGCAGGAGATTGATGATTGCCTCTCTGCCTCCAAAGCATGCCTCGTGGATGGCTGTTTGGCCTTTGTAGTCCTGGGCGTTGACTTTGGCTCCGTGAGTGAGCAGCAGACGGATGCAGCTGACCCCCGCCCCGAGCAGTCGGCCTGCTTTGCTTGATGCGGTGCACACTGCAAGCTTCAGGGGCGTGTTTCCCGTGGAAGAGACAGCACAGTTGACGTTTGCTCCACAGGCAATGAGCATTTCCATCATCTCCTTATTGAGCATGTTTGCGGCCATGTGAAGGGGTGTCATGCTGGCTTCATTAATAGCATTGACATCGGCACCATTTTGGGCCAAAATGGAGAGAACTGGATAGCAACCATATGCTATGGCCACGTGGAGTGGTGAACGTTTGTTGCTTTCCCCTTGAGCGTTAACTTGAGCCCCATGTGCACACAAGATGCGGAGACACATGATGGCGTTATTCTGAATGTCTGTCAGCATCCTGTGCATTCTGTTGCCTGGTTTTGCCCACGTGGTGGAAGTGACTGGCCAGTGCAGTAGTATTAACTTGAGTGTGGTGAGGCCTGTTGTGTCCCTAGAATGGGTATTGATTACACGTTACACTGAATTCACAGTAGGAATGGCTCTACGTGAACAGTTAATGCTTAAGAAACCAATATTTATTTGAAGTCAGACCCTTTAGTTACCTTAAGGATGTGTTTCACAATCTGTATTGCTGGGTAGTTTCTCGCTATCCCAGGGTTTTTCGGGGGATGTGGTGGGATGTATCCCTATACGATGGGGCCTAGCTTTATTTTTTATATACATAAATTTTTTTTTTTTTGAAAAATTCTTTTCACTTTTTTACAATGTCGTGAAGGAGGCCCAGCTTCTTGGAGCGGCCTATTTTTACCCGTGCTGCCCCCACTAGGGCTGTGTCCCTCCAAGGCTGTATCTTAGTGATTTCTGCAGCCTGGCACCTCACATAGTGCTGGGCTGGGTTACTGGCTTTCCGTGAAATTGTGTGGACTTGAGTGTGATCTGTTATCACCATAGAAGTGAGCCGTGAAGGCCCAAACTCCTGTTGACTCCTTTCTTAGTGGCTCTGTCTCTGCTCTCCTACCTGACATTTTTATGCGTGAGTGTGTAGGGAGCAGAAGAAGTGACAGGGGTTGAATCTGAAGACCTGTGGTCATTCTGAAGTTCATTCCTTGCTCCAAGCCAGGTGGAATGAGCATTTTACAACTTGGCCCTCATCACAGAAGCGCTTCCAAAAATTCCTTTGTTTTGGCAGAGAAAAGGGAAGGTTTATTATGTAAATCTAACTCCTCTGCTGAAATTAGAAAATGATTTTAGTTCACATATATCTGTTCAGCGTGAGGCCCTAGGCTATGGATATGGTGAAACAGCAGGTGGCCCCTATCTTTGTAGGGCTTACAGTCTAGCAGGGAAGATAGACGTGAAACAGTGAAACAGCTCAGTAAATACTGGAAGCCGGCAGAGTTCTAGAGGGGTGCAGAAGCCTCACATAGCGTATGCGGTATGCAGGGTAGGAAAGGGTCCCCTGAGGAGAATGGGGCGAGTCTGTGATGGTCGAGATGTGGAAGGGACTTCGAGAGGACTTGCAGAGCTGGGGTGGGGTGCTAAGGGAGAGTCTGGGAGCAAGACAGTTCGGGTGAGTTTTTCTGGAGCGTGGTAAGGATTTGGGGCAAGAAGTTCTATTATTATTATTATTGGGATGGAGTCTCGCTCTGTCGCCCAGGCTGGAGTGTGGTGGCGTGATTTCGACTCACTGCAATTGCCGCCTCATGGGTTCAAGTGATTCTCTTGCCTCAGCCTCCCTAGTAGCTGGGATACAGGCGCCTGCCACCATGCCTGGCAAATTTTTGTATTTTTAGTAGAGATGGGGTTTCACCATGTTGGTCAGGCTGGTCTCGAACTCCTGACCTCATGATCCACCCACCTCAGGGTCCCAAAGTGCTGGGATTACAGGCGTGAGTCACCGCGCCCAGCCTATATACTACTTAATTCTTTCATTCACTCAGATAGTATTACTGGGCACTTGCTAAGTAATTGATTTGGTTGAGGTGGTGGAGATACAGTGGTGCACAAGGTGAACTTGTCTTTCATGCGACTTACCTTCTAGTGGAGAGTAATAAACAAGAAAATCCATTATCAGCCGGGCACGGTGGCTCACGCCTATAATCCCAGCACTTTGGGAGGCTGAGGCGGGTGGATCACGAGGTCAGGAGATCGAGACCATCCTGGCTAACATGGTGAAACCCTGTCTCTACTAAAAATACAAGAAATTAGCCAGGCATGGTGGCGGGCGCCTGTAGTCCCAGCTACTTGGGAGGCTGAGGCAGGAGAATGGCATGAACCCGGGAGGCGGAGCTTGCAGTGAGCCAAGATTGCGCCACTGCACTCCAGCCTGGGCGACAGAGTGAGACTCTGTCTCAAAAAACAAACAAACAAAAAAGAAAATCTATTGTCTACCTATATTTTATTTTTCACACCTAACTTTGGTGGTTAAACTTATTGAGGGCTATGGCAAGGACTTTACTGCATTCCTCACAACACCACCATTGAACACTTAATCCTCAGAATGTGCATTGATTTGGCAAAATGTTTGTGATGTTGGATTTTTCTCAGTGTTTCAGATTATCTCATCTACTCAGTAAAGACATTGGTTCATTCATAACATGATAATGTGTAGTCTGTCACCTTGAAGAACGAACAAGTCCAAACCTAAGTGGAAAAAAATGTATGAACTGAAAAAAATCTATATCAGGTATATCCTCACTTAGAAATGATTGCCAGTGAAGCTGGGTGCTGTGGCTGAAGGCTGTAATCCCAGCACTTTGGGAGGCCGAGGCAGGTGGATCATTTGAGGCCAGGAGTTCAAGACCAGCCTGGCCAACATGGTGAAACCCTGTCTCTACTAAAAATACAAAAGTTAGCCGTGCATGGTGGTGCATGCCTGTAGTCCCAGCTACTCGGGAGGCTGAGGTGGGAGAAGCTCTTGAACCCAGGAAGTAGAGGTTGCAATGAGGCAAGATTGTGCCACTGCACTCCAGCCTGGGCGAAAGAGCGAGAGCCCTGCCTCAAAAAAAATAAAGAAGAAAAAAAGACATGATTTTCGGTGGAGTTAACTTACCTGACTTCTGGGTCAGCGCCATGCCGTAACAGGCAGAGCAGACTCTGGGCCTTGTGGTACTTGGCAGCCAGATGGATGGGGATGATGGACTCTGTCTGCTTTGGAGGGAAAACAAAACACATGGTGTAGTTAAAAATACTGTTTGTGTTATCTTGCCATTTCAAAGGCAATACATTTATTTACTGTCTCATTGGCTTACTCTTTTTCTGGTATGTGCATTGAAAGTTTCCTTTTCTACTACCTGTTTTAAATGATCAAAACTCAGTGGATTCCCTACTATAAAATCTGTGTTTTACAGAAACGCACATTTACTGAGGCAACAGAAATAACACTCGAAAGCTCTGGAAAGTTTTGAAAGTTGATTCTTCCAAAGAGCCTGTGGTGTGATATTAATGGTACTTGCTATGAAGTCACTTAGTCCTTAAATTAACCCGCAGGGTGATGGACAAGTAGGTGCCGTGTCGTTGCCAAAAGTCGTATTATCAGCAGTAAAACCTGAATCTTAAGGGTTTTCAGATATAACGCAGCATATGTTCTGTCTATGATTAGTAGAGCTGTTTGTGCCAACTCTCTTTTTTTTTTTTTTTTTTTCTGAGACAGAGTCTCGCTCTGTCGCCCAAGGCTTGAGTTCATGGCCGGATCTCAGCTCACTGTAAGCTCCCCCTCCCGGGTTCATCGCATTCTCCTGCCTCAGCCTCCGGAGTAGCTGGGACTACAGGCCCCGCCACCTTGCCCGGCCCGTTTTTGTATTTTTTTTAGTAGAGACGGGGTTTCACCGTGTTAGCCAGGGTGGTGGTCTTGATCTCCTGACCTTGTGATCCGCCGTCTCGGCCCTCCCAAAGTGCTGGGATACAGGCTTGAGCCACGCGCCCGCCGCCAATTAAAATACACACATGTAAGTAGTGGTTTTACACCGTGGCTATAAGATAAGACAGTAGGGTACAAGAGAGGGTGACTTCCTTTTTGAAAAAAAAAATTTAATTGTAAAGGTAATAATCATTGTATAAACATTTAGAAACTGAAAATGTATATATTAAAAGGGAAAAACTATTTTTTGTTTGTTTGTTTGAGATGGAGTCTCGCTCTGTCATCCAGGGTAGAGAGTGCAGTGGTACGATCTCGGCTCACTGCAACCTCTGCCTCCTAAGTTCAAGCAATTCTCCTGCCTCAGCCATCTGAGTAGCTGAGATTACAGGCTCCTGCCACCGTGCCCGGCTAATTTTTGTGTTTTTAGTAGAGACGGGATTTTGCCATGCTGGCCAGGCTGGTCTCAAACTCCTGACCTCAGGTGATCCACCCACCTCGGCCTTCCAAAGTGCTGGGATTACAGGTGTGAACCACCGCGTCTGGCCAAAAAAGGGAAAAACTAATTTGACCACTCGGAGATTAGCACCATGGGTATGTTTGAGAGATGACATGAATGGTCTTCCAGCCACACAGGATCTGGTGTTTTCTCGTGTTGGTTTATGTGTGACATGTGCAGAGGAGGCTTTGAGGGCTTTGGGGAGCACTGCAGTGTGTGTGGAGTGAGCTGGGGTCGTGCCTCGTAAGGGCTGTGAGCTTAGCAGGTTCACCAGCTTTAGATGATGCTCGTTTCTAAGCAGCCTGACTTTTTTCCAGAAGTGACTGAGCAGAAAAGAGGGTACCTGGCTCAGAAGTAATCTGCTGCTGGTGGAGTTGGGCAGAATGGTGATGGGCTGGTTGACAGGGTGATTTCTCAGGAGTACCTCGATCGTAGTGCAGTCTTCTCTCATGATGGCTTCATAGAGTTTCGAGTGAAGTGCTGCGGATGGGCCATCTTCCAGGGACGTGGCACTGTCAACCACCAGGTCTCTGCTTCCTTTCCTGGGTATATTCCCCATGAGAAAAACGTTAAGACTTCAGGGGAAAATGTTGTTATGGAATTGGTCAGTTTCAGTCTCTTTATGATGATTCTTTCAGTTCAGTTCTATCACTGTTCTAGAATTTGTCAAGAATTGTATCTGTGAAGGCAGTCCATCAAAGTTTGGAACCAAGCGTCCAGACTTTGTTCCTTGATCATATAATGTCGAATGTCAGCAGTTTTTAGGGTTTTCTACTCTGTCATAAAGACATATCCAAGCTATTATCTTACACCTTTATTTCTGATTTCTCTCCATTTCAAGTGTAGCTGAAACAATGATCAAAGCTAAAAAAGAGGAATTTATACATTCAAATACAAAGTTTAAATTATTACTTTTAAAGTAAGAAAAGTTTTAACCTATTTTTTAGTTTTTATTATAATAGAATCTTCCCTCTCCCCATTACAGGTTCCGTTTTTCTCTGGCATAGGAATAGTTTGAGAGATGTTTTGGGTCTGCACTCGTTGCTTAAGTAAAGCCATTTAGTGTGATTTATTAGTTCCTAACCCTGGCTAATACATATGAGTTATCTGGGAGCTTTTAAGAAATATTCAAGTTGGCTGGGCGTGGTGGTTTATGCCTGTAATCCCAGCACTTTGGGAAGCCAGGGCAGGCAGAACACGAGGTCAAGAGATTGAGACCATGCTGGCCAACATGGTGAAACCCCGTCTCTACTAAAAATACAAAAATTAGCTGGGTATGGTGGCGTGCATCTGTAGTCCCAGCTACTCGGGAGGCTGAGGCAAGAGAATTGCTTGAACCTGAGAGGCCGAGGTTACAGTGAGCCAAGATGGCGCCACTGCACTCCAGCCTGGCAACACAGTGAGATTCTGTCTTTAAAAAAAAAAATCAAAGTTTTTTCATAGTGTAAGAAGCATGCTCACCCATCCAAACCCAAAGAATGAACTTGGAGGCACAAAGAAAGTGAAAGTCAGACTTTTAATAGCAGTCTTGTAAGGTCGTGTGTCTGGTAGGCAGGTACACCCAGGGCAGTTACAATAGGTAATTTATCTCCTAGCGTGCAAGTCCCTACCTCGGTTCCTCATTGGTCAAGGACTACAGGGTTACGATCTTCCCGGAAGTCGCCTGAGTTGCATTATCCCCTTAGAAGGTTATACCCTGGTCCCTTCCCCACTTAAGTTTGGATTTCCCAGTAACGAAACTGTCTTCCCTTTTATGGGCTGACTTCTCCTTTACATCCTGTTTGCTTATTGTGATCTTCTAGGTGGATGAGCCATGCGGTTTGTTATATTCACAGGCTAGCTGCCAGTACTTAGATTTATCATGCCTTGAAAAAGCCATTTAAAATGTTTTCTCACACATAGAAAATCACATCTCTGGATGCGACAAGACAGTTCTTTTCCTTTCCTTCCCTTTCTTTTTCCCTTACCTTTTTTTTTTTTCTGTCTTTGAGACAGAGTCTCACTCTGTTGCCCAGGCTGGAGTGCAGTGGTGTGATCTTGGCTTGCTGCAACCTCTGCCTCCCAGGTTCAAGCAATTCTGCCTCCGCCTCCCGAGTAGCTGGGATTACAAGCATGCACCACCACACCTGGCTAATTTTTGTATTTTTAGTAGAGACGGGGTTTCACCATGTTGGCCAGGCTGGTCTTGAACTCCTGACCTCAGGCGATTCACCCGCCTTGGCCTCCTGAGGTGCTGAGATTACAGGCGTGAGCCACCATGCCCGGCCGAGGACAGTCATTTCTAAGAGCTTCTTGGGTAATGATGTGCAGTAAGGGTTGGGAGGCATTTGTGTACAAAGCATGCTCTACATTAATATTCTCCAAATTTAGAATAGCCTTGGGACTTTTAGGAATACTGATGCTTGTGTCCACCCCCAGGAGTTCTGATGCAGTTGGCCTGGGGAATGGGTTGAATTTTTTGTTTTTTTTTTCCTTGAGGCGGAGTCTTGCTCTGTCACTCAGGCTGGGGTGCAGTGGTGCAATCTTGGCTCACTGCAACCTCTGCCTCCTGGGTTCAAGTGATTCTCCTCCCTCAGCCTCCTGAGTAGCTGGGACTACAGGTGAGCACCACTATGGCCAGCTAATTTTTGTATTTTTAGTAGAGATGGGGTTTCACCATATTAGCCAGGCTGGTTTTGAACTCTTGACCTCAGGTGATCTACCTGCCTCGGCCTCCCAAAGTGCTGGGTTTACAGGCATGAGCCACCGCGCCTGGCCGAGGTTTTTTTTTGAGACGGGGTTTTGCTCTTGTCGCCCAGGCTGGAATGCAGTGGCACAACCTTGGCTCACTGCAGCCTCTGCCTGCTGGGTTCAAGCCATTCTTCTGCCTCAGCCTCCCCAGTAGCTGTGATTACAGGCACGTGCCACCACGCCTGACTAATTTTGTATTTTTTAGAGATGGAGTTTCACCATGTTGGCCATGCTTGCCTAGAACTCCTGACCTCAGGTGATCTGCCTGCCTCAGCCTCCCAAAGTGCTGGGATTACAGGCATGAGCCACTGCACCCGGCCGGATGTTGAGATTTTTAAAACTCCTGGATGATTCTGATGTGCAGGCAAATTTGGGAACTATTCCTCAAATATTTAACTTTTGAGGGGCTGCTTGCTCCTGAGTTCCAAACACTTAAAAACATTTACAAGTTTTTACTATTTGTTTTAAGAAAGCCAAGGAGTTGACTTGTTTTGTTTGTTGATAGCCAAGAAATATTTTTCTTCATGGCCCTGATCAGCAAGTAAAAATAGGAGACTTTGGTCTGGCCTGCACAGACATCCTACAGAAGAACGCAGACTGGACCAATAGAAACGGGAAGAGTAAGTTTTTGGTTTTGTTTTGTTTTCTTTGCATAAGCAAAAGACATGGTTGCACATGTTAGTATTTAAAGAGAATCATAAAGATTTAATAGCAAAGGTGAGATAAAGATAAAAAGAACCGTCGTTCCCTTAGGAGCTACACTGCTTGCTCATAGTAAATGTTATTTAATGTTGACAATGCTAACACTGCAATGTTTAATATGTGACTTTTGAAATGATAGGAACACCAGCACATACGTCCAGAGTGGGTACTTGTCTGTACGCTTCACCTGAACAGTTGGAAGGATCTGAGTATGATGCCAAGGTAGTATTTGTTGCTTTCTGTCCTTTCATCCAACTTATTTGGCAGTCGTAAATAACAAACAGTACAGGGCTGGGCGCAGTGGCTCACGCCTGTAATCCCAGCACTTTGGGAGACCGAGGTGGGTGGATCACCAGAGGTCAGGAATTCAAGACCAGCCTGGTCAACATGGTGAAACCCTGTCTCTACTAAAAATACAAAAATTAGCTGTGTGCGATGGCACATGCCTGTAGTCCCAGCTACTCTGGAGGCTGAAGCATGAGAATCGTTTGAATCCAGGAGGCGGAGGTTGCAGTGAGCCGAGATCGCACCATTGCACTCCAGCCTGGATGACAAGATCAAAACTCCGTCTCAAAAAAAGAAAAAAAACAAACAGTACAATGAAATGCAGAAGCTCTGTCATAGAGATGTTTTTGGAGATAACCAAGTACTCTAGATTATTAAGTGGCTCAAATTGCCCTAAGAAGAAGCCTCACTTTTCAGTAGAATCTGTGTTGCCTACTTTACCATTTCAAAATCCACAGGTGTCACACATTGTTTTTGTTTTTTCATTTGTTGTTTTTGAGACAGGGTCTTACTCTGTTGCCCAGGTTGGATTGCAGTGGTGTCATCATAGCTCATGGCAGCCTCCAACTCCTGGGCTCAAGTGATCCTCTCACCTCAGCCTCCCGTGTAGCTGTGACTTCAAGAGTTGTGCCACCACACCCAGCTAATTTAAAAAAAAAAAAAAAAAAATATATATATATATATATATTTGTAGAGATGGGGTCTTGCTTTGTCCAGGTTGATCTCAAACTCCTGGCCTCAAATGATTCTCCTCCCTTGGCCTCCCAAGTGCTGGGATACAGGCATGAACCACTGCACCTGGCCTAAATCGATTTTGAAATGAGCTTTCCCTTTAAAACATCACTGTTCACCTCAGGAAGCTAGAATTCATGGAAGCCTGTGTTCAGCCTTTCTTCTAATTGTTTTTTTTTTTCAGGCTTCAGTGAATAAACGCCAAGGGGAAGCCTGTCCCTTGACTCCCCTTGAAATAGAATGAACATGCTGTAAAGTTTGAATCCCCATTGTTCCTTGAAGAAATGCTAAAATCAATTTTTCAAAACAACAGCCTAGTAAAATTTTCTTCCTTTTGATGGCTCCTTGAGCTTTTTAGTGATTGGGAAAGAGCTGTCAGAAAAAATGATGGCTGCCCCTAAAATCTTGTCTAGTGAAGACCTTTCTTAAAAAATCTGTTTTTAGGAGTAGTATCACAGATTTTATGCAGTTTGTTAAATGTCACCAAGGACACTTGGTAAGTATGAGTGGAGGCAGAGGTGAGACTGGAGGAGAACCCGCGACCCACTATGGCTTCCCCGCAGCTGACCTAGCAGGCGTGAGCTCATGTCCCTCTCCCTGGGTCAGGCCTGGATTGTTACGGGGTGCTGAAGACAGTTGTATGGTTGTGACTGCTGTGGGTGGGGATTATCCCTGCCCTCCACCTGACCATCCATTCTGCGTCCCCACGGATGCCCCTTTTTGGGGTAGTGAAAGTCCCTGTCTCTGATGAGCCATCCTGCTCTGTTCCCTTCCTTGTGGGTGACTGTATATCCTCATTCTTAGAAACCCTCTCCTGTGTGGAGGGTGGAACACGGAAATGGAAACGTTCTTCTCACTCTGTATTTCACTACTGAGTTCCCCCTTTTTTTCTTTTTCCAGTCAGATATGTACAGCTTGGGTGTGATCCTGCTAGAGCTCTTTCAGCCATTTGGAACAGAAATGGAGCGAGCAGAAGTTCTAACAGGTTTAAGAACTGGTCAGTTGCCGGAATCCCTCAGTAAAAGGTGTCCAGTGCAAGCCAAGTATATCCAGCACTTAACGAGAAGGAACTCATCGCAGAGACCATCTGCTGTTCAGCTGCTGCAGAGCGAACTTTTCCAAACTTCTGGAAATGTATGTGCTTTTGTTTTTCTTGGACCTGGAGTGAAGGTGGTTTTTATTTCCTCTCTTGGGGAAGGAAGGGGTGGGTGGTGCCCCTGGAGGCTGGGGGTGGAAGAGGCAGATGATGGTTCTGGAGGCGGGGCCTATTTGTTCTCATCCACTTGCTGCTACTCACCTGCAGGGTGTGCTCGCAGGACTCACTCCCCTTAGGGTAGCAGCTCTGGCTGGCCCCAGCAGGCACAGGAGGTATCTGCTGGTGTTCACAAAGAGGAGTGGAGGGCCGGGGGCCAACCCCACAGCTAAGGCCGGGTAGGAAAGCTTCCTGAGGCCTGGTGGGTGTGACTCTTCCCCAGAAAGGCCGGAGGGGTCCGTCGGGTTTGCCCCTTCTGATGGCTGGGCCTTTAAATGTCCATGTCAAAGTCTGACTCTTCACCACCTGCCTGCTGTTATGGGCTGTCTAGGTGTCTGTCGGGGGCTCATCACTGGCAGGGCTGGTGAGCCCTGAAGTGGTGGGCGGGTCCCTTGAGGGTGTTTTGGTCACTGATGAGTTTAGCACTCTCAGAATTTCGGGTTGTAGAAAATCCTGGCACCTCCCCGGGTCGTGCTGAAGAGTGTGCCCCAGGGGGGCTGCTGCCTTCCCTGCGCAGTACACAGCCACTGCAGACCACCCAGGAGAGGCAGGGGTGGCCTGGTGTGGGGGTCTGGCTGCAGCTGCTGCCCTGGACATGGTCTCTGTACATGTTTTTCTTTTTAATGCTGAGGAAAATATGAAGCTTAAAATAGAATTTGTTTAAATTGTGAATCCTGGCCGGGCGGGGTGGCTCATGCTGTAATCCCACGCATGGGATTTTGGGAGGCCGAGGTGGGAAGATTGCCTGATGTCAGGAGTTCGAGACCAGCCTGGCCAACATGGTGAAAGCCCCTGTCTACTAAAAGTACAAAAATTAGCCGGCCATGGTGGTACACACCTGTAATCCCACCTCCTCAGGAGGCTGAGGCAGGAGAATCACTTGAACCCGGGAGGTGAAGGTTGCAGTGAGCCGAGATCACACCACTGCACTCCAGCCTGGGCGACAAAGCGAGACTCCATCTCAAAATAAATAGTGAATCCTGTTTCAGTGAATAGTTGAGCTTAGACTCCTATTGGTGCAAACAAAATATTTAAACCCATTCTCAGAGTTCCCTGACTGTATCAAGCACTAGGTTGAATGCCAGTAGCACGCTTGTATTCACTGTCCACGTAAGCAGGTTGACTCCCTACCACCTGTCTACTCTAAGAATTATAAGCACCAGGCGCGGTGGCTCACGCCTGTAATCCCATCACTTTGGGAGGCCGATGCGGGCGGATCATGAGGTCAGGAGTTCAAGACCAGCCTGACCAACATGGTGAAACCCCGTCTCTACTAAAAATACAAAAATTAGCCAGTTGTGAGCCACCACACCCAGCCACAGATGTGGTTCTTAAAACTAAGTATAAACATTTATCTTCACACATGAAGGGGATTTTCTAATGCTCAGTTAAGACAGCTATTAGAGACCATAGTTATTTAGTATTTATAACCATAGTTATTTAGGATTTCTACTATCTTGCAAAAGTTTTTTGTGTAAAATGAAACCTTGGCTGGGTGTGGTGGCTCATGCCTGTAATCCCAGCACTTTGGAGGGTTGAGGCAGGTGGTAATTGAGGTCAGGAGTTCAACACCAGTCTGGCCAACATGGCGAAACTCCATCTCTACTAAAAATACAGAAACTAGCTGGGCTTGTACGAGAGCGCCTATAATCCCAGCTACTTGGGTGGCTGAGGCACGAGAATAGCTTGAACTGGGGAGGCACAGGTTGCAGTGAGCCGAGATCATGCCACTGTACTCCAGCCTGGGCAACAGCAAGATTGTCTCAAAACAAACAAAAAACAGGTCCGGGGGGAAAAACAGTCCAGGCACGGTGGCTCACGCCTGTAATTCCAGCACTTTGGGAGGCTGAGGTGGGCAGATCACTAGGTCAGGAGATTGAGACCATTCTGGCTAACATGGTGAAACCTTGTCTCTACTAAAAATACAAAAAATTAGCCAGGCATGGTGGTGGGCGCCTGTAGTCCTAGCTTCTCTGGAGGCTGAGGCAGGAGAATGGCGTGAACCCGGGAGGTGGAGCTGCAGTGAACCGAGATCGCGCCACTGCACTCCAGCCTGGGCGACAGAGTGAGACAACGGACAAAAAAAAAAAAAAAAAAAAATAGTAAGTTATTTTAATGGAGTTTAAAATATTTTCTCCTTACAGGTTAACTTCACTCTACAGATGAAGATAATAGAGCAAGAAAAAGAAATTGCAGAACTAAAGAAGCAGCTAAACCTCCTTTCTCAAGACAAAGGGGTGAGGGATGACAGAAAGGATGGGGGCGTACCTGTCTAACCTTCCTCAGGCTGTATCTGTAGGATGAAAGTGGACTTAACTTTTAAGGTAGTTAACTGGAATGTAAATTTTTAATCTTCATTAGGGTATAGTTGGTATAATTCTTAGTTGTATTTAGTAAGCCTTTACAAGACTTTTTAAAGATGTCAGAGTGCCCCAAGCTGGTGCTCCTTCCTTTCCTGCCTCACAAGCTCCTTTTCCTGAATTTCCTACCTAAATGGTCTCTGAAACAAAAAACTTGGACCTTATCCTCAATTATTTTTTCCTTTCAACTCTGTTGACCCTCTGTCTGGTCTTTCTCTAGAAGGTTCTACAGAAATTGACGTGTGCCCCTGTCACTGCCCAAGCCCAGGCCTGCACATACTCACTGGACTGTTCCAGTTTTGACAGCTGCCAGTCTTCCTACCCCTTTCACACTGCAGCCAAGTTCATTACCTGAAGGACGCCTGATCATTTCATTCCTTGGCTCCAAACCTTCTGCTGCCTCTAAGATAAAAGCTCAACTTCTTAACAGTGTACAGTGTGCAACTTCCAATGGTTTTTTTTTTTTTGGGATGGAGTCTCTGTCGCCCAGGCTGGAGTGCAGTGGCGCGATCTCGGTTCACTGCAAGCTCCGCCTCCCCGGTTCACGCCATTCTTCTGCCTCAGCCTCCCGAGTAGCTGGGACTACAGGCACCCGCCACCACACCCGGCTAATTTTTTTGTACTTTTAGTAGAGATGGGGTTTCACTGGGTTAGCCAGGATGGTCTGGATCTCCTGACCTCGTGATCTGCCTGCCTCAGCCTCCCAAAGTGCTGGGATTACAGGCGTGAGCTACCGCGTCCGGCCGCAACTTCCAATCTTTTTATCTGTTCTCTCCACCTTCAATTTAGCGTCATTCCAAAACCACACCCTTGCAAAGCTTTGTACTCCTCACCCCAGGTGATCTCCAGGAAGCTCAGATCTCTTTCCCACCTTTGCCCTGCACTGTTCCCCGGTACTTCCTCCTTTATTGTAGCATTCAACTCCCCAGCCAATCTGTACATCCCTCAGAGGCAGCGATCTGAAGTGGTTTTTGAATCCCAGAAAGGGTCTACCATGGAGTTGGCAGTCATCACGGTAGATGGCGTATGATTTTGCTGAATTTTAAATAAAATGAAAACCACAAATTACATGATGCTTTTATTGACATTTGACAACTGGCCTAAATAAAAAGACTTTGACTCTAATACAAGTCCCCTTACTGATAATAGGCATGAAAGAGCACCATTCTTAAAATCTAAACTCTTTAAAATCGGTAACGGAATTCACTTAAGGAGCTTGAGGGCCGTGTTAAAAGGAGCCAGGTTTTCACAAGACCTCATCCACCTCTGCACGTTGGCTGGCACTGTCACACTGCAGCCTCTGGTCTGCTGGAGCACAGACCACAGCACCACGTCTGCTACGGTGAGTTCATTCCCGGCGAGCCAAGGGCTCTTCCCAAGAGCTGAGTTCATAGAACGGAAAACAGCGGCTTTTTCTTTACTGCTTCCCTCTTTTAACTGAAAAATCGCGATATCTACCCAGCTATCTATAAGGGTTGCGTTGACAGCAGTATGCTTCTGGCCAAACAGAGAGAACAAGAAACGTGCAATGTTCCCTTCTCCTTCGATGGGGCACATCGTCTGGACGCTGAATTTCATCTGCGTCTTCGGCACTGAAAAGAAAAAACACACGCAAGGTAGCATCACCACAGCAGCCGTGTGAGGGAAGTACTCGCACAATGGGGAAGGGGACAGTCACCAAACACCACAGACTGATGACACGGGAAAGGGTGTTTTCAAGAAGAACATCACATTTTCAGTCAGTCTCTTAAGATGCTTAATACTGAAAAAGGTTTAAGTGCAAACTATGTTAAAAAAGTAACCAGGCCGGGCGTGGTGGCTCAAGCCTGTAATCTCAGCACTTTGGGAGGCCAAGACGGGCGGATCACGAGGTCAGGAGATCGAGACCATCCTGGCTAACACAGTGAAACCCCGTCTCTACTAAAAATACAAAAACTTAGCCGGGCGAGGTGGCAGGCGCCTGTAGTCCCAGCTACTCGGGAGGCTGAGGCAGGAGAATGGCGTGAACCCGGGAGGCGGAGCTTGCAGTGAGCTGAGATCCGGCCACTGCACTCCAGCCTGGGTGACAGAGCGAGACTCAGTCTCAAAAAAAAAAAAAAAAAAAGTAACCAAAGAGCCATTCCTGGTATTTGATTATGACAGTTCTGAAGCTGGAAGGGACCTCAGACCACCTGCTCCAATCCCTGCTGCCTAAGGATTTGGGGGCTGAGGGCTGGAAACCCAGGAGTTGCATCTCCCAGGCTCTTGGCCTCATAATCGCTTTCTGTGAGGCTGAGGGCAGTTAAGATATGAATGACATGAACTCGCTTCCTTCCATATCAGCATAACCAGAAGGGGCATACATCCGTGGGATAGTGAGTACATGACATCCTATCTTTATGTGGCCATATGAGAAGATAATTTCAATGTCCCTATGATAGTAAGTTCTAGAATGTGAGGGCAAGATGGCTGTGATAGCCATGACTCCCCTGCTTTGCCTGGTTGGACAGAACCCCCTTCCTCCAAGGCTCACAGTCCCAACTTGAGCTGTGTCTCACTCAGAGACCCTAAACTTTGCAGAGGAACAAGGGCATCTTTGCAGTGCTTCATCTCTGCTCCTCCTCTAGAACTACCCCACAGGCTTCTTAGACTTAGAATATCTGACCTGATGCAAATCGCTGTATGGCCGGTATGCCACACAATGTCCTAACCCCTTGCTGCCTCGTATCAAAACCATGTTGCACATCTCATCATATAGTACAGCTGACCCTTGAACAGTGTGGGGGTTAGGGGCACTGACTCCCCACTGCTGTGCAGCGAAAATCCACATAAAACTTTTGACTCCTCCAAATCTTAAGCACTAACAGCCTACTACTGATGGGAAGCCTTACCTGTGACAGTTGATTCACACACTTTGTATGGTCTATATATCATATGCTATATTCTTACGATAAACTTGAGAAAATGTTAAGAAAATAATAAGGATGCTGGGCATGGTGGCTCACACCTGTAGTCCCTGCTGCTTGGGAGGCTGAGGTGGGAGGATCACTTGAGCCCAGAAGGTTGAGGCTGTGGTGAGCTGTGACCGTACCACTGCATTCCAGCCTGGGTGACATAGCAAGACCCTGCCTCTTAAAAAGAAAAGGATAATGAATTTACTATTCATTAAGTTGAAGCGGATCATCTTAAAGGTCTTCATCCCACTGCCCATGTCGCTGAGGAAGAGGGGTTGGTCTTGCTGTCTTGGGTGGCAGCGGTAGAAAGGGAGGCAGGAAAGGAGGAGAGGCAAGCACGGTGTAGCTTTAGGGAAATACATCATAATTTGTCTGACTGTTTGCCTTTTGATTTCTCTAAAAATAGTTCCATGCAGCATGAACCCTTCCACCGTTTGCTTTAGTTTCACTG